TTTCATATGACTGTCTTTGAGTGTAGCTCATAACAAATACCTAGGTAGCACTTTGCAAAAGGGCTGCTAAAATATGTAAAAACCTCCTCTCAAGTGAATCCATTGCTGATGAATGGGAGAACCTCGAATGTAAAGGTCAGAAAATAAAAATAATTAATCTAAAGCATCAAGATGGCTGCAGAAAGCATTTTTCCCAGTCTGCACACTATACAGCCAATATATCACAAAAGATGGACACTTCTTTCCTGTCCCACTCATATAAAACAAGTATCTACATTTCTTAAATAAGAGATTACATGGGATTTGGTTTTCTCAGAGAAAAAGCATGAAATTGGATGATCACTTGTCATGATGGCTTTTTTTTGAATGCTGTCTGAGACTAAGCGTCTTATGAGGCTTTATATCTACAGATCTTTTTTCCCTTCTTCACTTTAACCTATTGTCTCTAGAAGTGTCTTCGCATACTCTTCTGATTGCTGCTGTGAAATCTGTTGTCTTGTTAGACACAAACACAGTTGTTCAGCTGTGACTGAGAGTGGTCTCTTGTCATCCTGTCCTATTTTAACTCACAATTTGCTTCATTGCTGCCCAGTGCTTCAGAGTTAGAGACCTTTGCAAAATACCCAGAGTCCTTAAATACAAGTGCACTCATCTGACCTTGCCCCCGTCGCAGTCTGAAAGCACCCCTGTGCACCCAGCCTAGCTGCTTATCTGCCTCATCATCCAGCTCATAGCTCCTACCCTCCAGCCTCTCACAAATCCTCCTCCACATCCTGTCTCTGTGGTCTTTCACATATGCCTGAGCTGAGCAGCTGCAGCTCATCCTTGCACCCAGCTCCCGGGTGGAGAACTGATGGGTGATTTCGTGACTTTTGTTCCATGAGCAGATGTAACTGTGCAGATCCTTTCTCCTTGTGTTTGTCCATAATTATGATCACAATGTTAGCTGATAATAACTTCAGATGAAATTAATGGAGTGGCTGCATTGTCTCCATTGACTTCTAAGCACAAATTGCAAATTGGAAGTCAGGTGCCCATGCACAAATTCAGAAAGTGGAGAGGAGTTTTACATCACTGTAAACTCAACCTGCTCTGTCCCACAGCATGCTCTGCACCAGGTCCCCACCACCTGGCATGGCTGGTGCCAAGGAATTGCATGTTTCTAATTAGCCAATTCAACTGATAACACTAACACACTAGGAAAGTCCTGACTTGCTGGTGTGAAAGCCCTGAAGTTTTGGCAAGCTGTTTCAATGCTCCCTGTTGCTAGAGCACAAGAAAAAGGCAAAAACCCAGAATCAGTGTGATCCTGTTTTGTCTATCAAGGGCCCCTGTGATCACAGAGCATATTTCTCACCCTGCTCAACATTTTTTGCAGGAAAAGCTGACACAAGTTGGCAAGGACAGCAAGCAGCCCCTCCTTCTCACTCCTTCTCCAACCAGGATAAGGAGCAAATTCAGAGACTCTGATAAAGTGAACCAAGGTACAATCCCAACAACCCCTGGTGCTGTTTTGCATTTGTCCCCATGGTGTCAGCTGCAGGCTGCTGTGCCAGCAAAGCAAAGCCCATCCCTCATGGTAGCTGAACATGTTGCTAAAGGAGGCCTGTAAAGCTTCCTTCTTTCACTGATGGAACTCTACTTCACCTTGGTTATCCATGTTGAAAGGGGAGGTGATTGAGCACAAAACCCACCAGCCATGTGGTGTATAGATTAATATTCACACCATGGCACCGAGGTTAAATTGGTGTCTAAAACTCAGGGTGGATTTGGTAGCAGCAGAAAGCACTTGGTCCTTCTGGGAACAGGTTCCCCACGAGGTGAGCTATCACACAAAGCACAGTTAGCAGCCTGCATCACATGTGTGAGTGCCTGTCATTTAATGGATGACTGCACAGAAATCTTTCCTGTGCTATTACATGGATGTTCTCTATGCCTCCAGTCCAAACCCAGTGCCTTTCCTTTTTCAAGATCTCTTTTATACAATGGAAAGGTGCCTCTTTCCATTATAGTTTGCCTTACATTGACACCTCTTTCTGCCACATTAAACATGAAACTTCCCAGAAAAGTGAGTCCTTGCTCAAGATCTCTTGCAATTCAAGGACAAGCAGAGAGAGTGAGATTAGAAGAAAAAAAAAGAGAAAGAACAGGTTTTTTTTTTTCTTTTGTTGATTGGAGACAATTAGGTTCAACAGGATGGAAGGTACTGTATTATGGGGAGGTGGAATTGCCCCTCTAAGGGCCATTCCAGTCTTGTGCCATAAATCACAGAACATTCTGAGTTGAAATGGACTCACAAAATCATCAAGTCCAATTCTTAAGTGAATGGCCAATACAGGGATTGAACCCCCAACCTTAGAATTAATAGCACCATGCCCTAATTAACTGAGCTCATCTTAGGGTCATTTGGTTTTTTTGGGCTCACTGTAATGAGCTCACTGGAAATATAGTGTTCATGTTCACAAAGGATGTAAACAAAGATGTGACTCAGTCTGTCTCACCTCTGCTCTTGAGCTTCCTGCATGTGGAGGCAGCTGGTGCAACAACATGGGGCCAGAGTGGGACCCAGTAGACCAGAAGAGCTGGACAGAGGGCTCATGTTTGAGCCAGACTTCGACCCCACTCTACCATGGCTTCACTCTGACTGGTGTGGTTGGTTCCTTTCTTCTTCTGAGAGAATGAGAAAGATTGCAAAAAAAGTGGACACCTCACCTATAGTGCAACTAAAAGCTGGGCAGTTCAGTAATGATTCTTCACCTTGGCTCTGTAGATCATACATACCAAAAGAAATCCTCATCGGGATTTAAGCATCATATTTTGGTTGAGATTCTCAATATGTCTTAAAAAGTTTTGTTATTTAACCTCAGAAATAACCTTCAGAATAAACCTCCTCTGAAAGTTAGATACTTGAGTGGTTTCAGAGAACAGGGTGTCTCTTGGCTCTCTGGTTGAGGAAATTGGAGCAGTAACTGTTTTAAGGGTGAAAATATTCATATGTGGTTCTTGACCAGGAAGGGTTTTTCTTACATTTACTAACAGGAGGGAAAGTGAAGTGTGGAGGCAGATGGATAGATCGGCAAAATCACCTTTTGAAAGAAAGCTGAAAATTAAATTCTTGTTCTACAGAAGGAAGGACAAAGCCATTTTAAAGCCATGACACAGCTGAATGGAAGAGGCCCTCAGCATCCACTAAAACTCAAGATGAAGCTTATAACCATGTCTTCAGAGCCCGTAGTCCTCTTAAAAGACAAAGGTAATGTAATTTGCAATAGACATCAGCTGTGAGTTGATTTTACTGTGGTACCAAGTGAACAACTCCAGGTCTTGGGTTGTGACTGTCACAGGAGAAATTCTCCTGTGGCCAAGGTGCTGCTGGGGTGAGGACAAGGGGAACCTCCCCATCCTGTATAGCCACGGCTGCTTTTGTGGAGCACCTCACTGGCTCCAGGGTGGGCAGTGAGGAGCCACACGTGTGGTAGTGGACAGGTGTGGTATTAACACAGGACCTTCTCTCTAAGGACAAGAAAATAAACCACATGAGCATGTCCTGGGCATGTGTGAATAATTTGTGTTTGTGGCACTGGAGCTGTGCAGGGGATCTGAGGGCTGCAGCCACACGGGGCAGTCCCAGTTCACATGGGATGTGTTTGTATCACAGTAGCTTTCAGAGGACACACTTTCAGGCAGAGGCCCATGCTGCTGCTTCACCAGTAGGAGCTCCTGACCCTTCACAGATCTGCCAGCGAACCGTTTCCCTTCATCCCACCTCTACCCTACCCTACTTCCCTGAGGTTGACTGGAACTTTTCTCTGCTTTGAGCCCCTGGGTTGAGCAAAGTGGTGGCTGCAGGCACGAATACAACTTACTGCGTAGGTCAGGGACAAGAAAGAGATCTCTGACTAGCTGCCTACTCGTCCACTTGCCCTAGGACTATTGAAGGAGCTGGTTGCCCATCTTCTTTGCCTTCCCGAGTGTGGCTCTGACATATTTGTATCTATTAGATTCCCAGTTGCTTTAAGACAGTTGCATCCCACCACAGCCGGTCTGCTTGGGTGAGTGTCCACACATGATGCAGCTTCTTGGAAGCGCCTGGATTCCGGGCTTGGTCATAAACTTCCTCTCTGGAAGGAGGAGGCTGGGAAGCGGGTTTAGGGCGAGCAGGTGTGAGGGAACTCCCGGGTTGGTAATGGAAGGGAATAATGTCCCTGACCCTGTCTGCCCCCCGGGGTTTGTGCTCCTGGCCGTCCTGTGCTGGGGCGGGGGTCGGGAGGGCTCCGCGTGTCCCCCCACCTGTGGCGCCAGCGGTGGCACATCTGGGCGGGGCGGGGCGGCCCCCGGCGGAACAGCTGTGTCTCCATGGCGACGGGCGCGGCGGGGGGGCCGCGGTGCCGCCGCCCCGCCCCGCCCGCCGAGCGGAGCAGAGCCGAGCGGAGCCGAACCGAGCGGAGCCGAGCCGAGCCGAGCCGAGCCGAGCGGAGCAGAGCCGAGCGGAGCCGAACCGAGCGGAGCCGAGCCGAGCGGAGC